CAGTCCATGGGACTCTCAAGAGTCTCAGCACCATAATTCAGCACCATAATTCAAAAGCATCAATTCTTTGTCGATCAGCCTTCTTTATGGTCCAGCTCTCACTTCCATACATCACTACTGGGAAAACCAGAGCTTTTACTATACGGACCTTTGTTGGCAAGGTGATGTCCTCCACCAAACACCCATCAAGTGTAACAAAAGAGATATTTACATTTCCCTGTTTCCCAGCCAAGTTAATCACACCCTTTTGTCTTCATCTGGGTTTGCTATTTCTGGAATGGCTACCTGTCTGGCACTCAGGTATCAGGATGCCAGGGATTATCACTCAGGCAGAGGGGCTGCTGAGCAGCTGAGCTCACATGTCTATATGAATTTCTGAAGTTTTCCCAGTGTTGTAAACAAAAATTGCCCTTTTCCCTTATGGGGTATCCAAGAGCCCATATAGAGTCCTTACATAGGTTCCCTATTGGTAGGAGAAGATAACAGAGGCCAACCAGAGAATATTGAGAAGCAATGCAGCTCGTAAGCTTGATCTTTATTGATCTGTTGCAACAGGGTGCTCCCCTCACCCGCAGGAGAGGAGGAGGAACCCAGAAAATGGTGTGCAAGGCCTTTTAAAGAGTTTTGAAATTCCCACCCTGTAGATCAAGACCACCCCCAGAAACATTATGCATACATCACAGAAGGGGTGTAACCTAAGACCACCCCTCAGATACATCATACCTACATCACAGAAAAGGCGGTCTAAAACAGAAATTTGAATGTTGTTTATCTCCTGTCTGGCAGGTTACTTGATTGGATTTCTTGGGGAGCCTGGCCATTCTTTTGTAGTGATAAATACTTAGTTCCTGGGCCAGGTCACAGGCTCACACCCTATTCATATCTTAAATGTGCCCTTAAGACAGGATTTGTGAAGGAAAGACAATGGGAGGTTTCCCACTTTGACCTTGCAGAGAAAACATTTGCTCAGTTTAGGAATCAAAATGGTTCCAGGTTGGCTTCCTGTGCTGATCTATGTACGTGCTTGGTTGGTACACTTATGAACATTGTTGTTGTTGTTTAGTCGTTTAGTCTGTCCGACTCTTCGTGACCCCTGGACCAGAGCACGCCAGGCACTCCTGTCTTCCACTGCCTCCCGCAGTTTGGTCAAACTCATGCTGGTAGCTTCGCAGAACACTGTCCAACCATCTCGTCCTCTGTCGTCCCCTTCTCCTTGTGCCCTCCATCTTTCCCAACATCAGGGTCTTTTCCAGGGAGTCTTCTCTTCTCATGAGGTGGCCAAAGTATGGAGCCTCAGCTTCAGGATCTGTCCTTCCAGTGAGCACTCAGGGCTGATTTCCTTCAGAATGGAGAGGTTTGATCTTCTTGCAGTCCATGGGACTCTCAAGAGTCTCCTCCAGCACCATAATTCAAAAGCATCAATTTTTTGGTGATCAGCCTTCTTTATGGTCTAGCTCAGTGTTCCCCAACCTTGGGCCTCCAGCTGTTTTTGGACTACAACTCCCATCATCCCTCGCTAGCAAGACCAGTGGTCAAGGATGATGGGAATTGTAGTCCAAAAACAGCTGGAGGCCCAAGGTTGGGGAACACTGGTCTAGCTCTCACTTCTATACATCACTACTGGGAAAACCATAGCTTTATATGAGTGCAAAATTTTCATTTTCTGGATTAATTTTTTTGTAAGTGTAGTGTTCAAATTATACTGAATTGTTTATTCATATTTTTAGTCGGTTCCGAATTTTGTGGACAATCTCACCCTTTTCCCATCGCAGCCAAGAATCCAGGGTGGCACCTGGGTGAAGATCTCTTCCTCCTGGGCACCTTGCATTACTTTTCTGCCTCCTGTCAAAGTCTTTAGTGTGTCAGCACTACTTCCTGCTGAGATATAGCTTACTGGTGCATTTTTTTCTGGCTGTTTTCTGGAAATCGATAGCCAATATATGCTGTTTCATAAAATGGAACCCTGAGGAGCCATGTCTTGAGTTGATAGGAAACATGATTTGCCAGCTGACAATCAAGCTGCCTAAAGCTTATAGAAAGCCCTTCTAGGCTGCTCTTTCTGAATTTGGTTCTGAGCCTCTGTGAATAGGCACTTATAAAAAAAATATAGCAGCAAAAAAACTCTTCCAAATAGCAGTGTTTTACCACTTTCCTTTTTGTATCAAGTTGTTCAGTTCCATATGACAAAATACTGCTATTTGGGAGGGGTTTTTTTTGGGGGGGGGTCTGTGCTATTTTCCTCTTTCTTCTTTTGATTGCTGCGTGTCTATTAAACATCGCATGGCTGTCCTCTTTCTGCCCCTGACATCCTGCGCTCTCTGTAATTCTCCTCAAATTGTAAAACCATTTCTTCATCGCCTTCTCTAGTCACCTTCTCTTCCCCAATTTATGCTTTATTCAGGAGTGGAGAAACTTGTTAAGCCCACGCTTATTTCTCTTGGTGATCTCATCTGCTCAGGTGAATTCTTAACAACCTTTTCTGATGAGTCCCTAAATCAGCCGCTGACCTGCCCACCTCTTCTCAGGGCCAAACCATACACCATGCACAGTTCCTGACTCTTTCCTCCTCATCTCAATTTCCTTTATTTT